TCAGACTCCTGAACTCAGGCCCCCCTCTCCCCCCACAACACACACCCACTCTTTTGAACTATAAACACCACTCCCTCTGTAAGATGGTAAATGGTAAATGGCCTGTATTTGTATAGCGCTTTTACTAGTCCCTAAGGACCCCAAAGCGCTTTACACAACCATCCACCCATTCACACACTGGTGATGGCAGCTACATTGTAGCCACAGCCACCCTGGGGCGCACTGACAGAGGCGGAGCTGCCGGACACTGGCGCCACTGCCACATGCTGCTTTATAGACAAATGTTTTACTCCAGGTTTACAAGCTGGTGACTTTAAACCACTCCAAACTGTAAACTGTAAATTGTAAATTGTAACTTCTCTTGATCCCCTAAGACTTAAGTGTATATTTGTTTTTCGTACTCCTTTTTATATCTATTTATTAGCCCTTTTCCACTGATGTAACCGGAGCCTTGTTGTCTTGCCTCTCTGTATGCTGCACTGGATATAGCAGAGATGACAGGATGAAGTTTACTCTGACTTTGACTTTCCTGAATTCTGTCTCCATTGTATACCTCTTCATGATCCTAGCCAGGGATATGAGGCTTTACTCGGCAGTGCTCTACAGCTCCAATAGCTAGCTTTGGAATTTCTCCCCATGTTGCCTTGATCTTGGCATCGCATATCCTTCTCCATGGAGGGTCCTCCTCATTGTGGGTCCTTGTAACCAAGCATTTCAGTGGTTTTAGATAAGTTATTTGGTTGCAGTGATGGTTGCAGTAGAGATTGTCTGTGCTGCATATACATGTGTAGTTGGTACTTCACATAGTCTTGGTAAATCAGTCAGTAGGGTCTGATTCTACCAGTAGGCCTTTACCTGACATCATGGCTCCCCCTTGCTGTAGCTTTCGAGTTTTACCTCATCAATCTTCAGTTGTGATAACAGTTGCTTCCTGATGCTGGAACACTGAGCTACTAGTTGCTTCTTTGTTAGTCTAGATTTTAGGTGTTGAAGATTCCTTAGGTCCCACCTCCTCTTGATGTAACACCTTCTGCTGGTAGGTGTGGTAGCATTTCAACAGCCCCGTATTCTCATCTTAACTGCAGTTTTTCTCTGCTTCCTTTATGGATAAAGGGGTTTGGCTCTGAGCAGCAGATCAGAACTTCAGCAGGTGCTTGAGAGGAGGAAAAGGGAACAGAGTTACCAGGATGAGGAACAACATAGTAGGACTCCTCTGGAGAAAGTCCTACTCAGACGTCAGCAGAAACAGCATGAGGTAGTAAACTTAAAGTGTTGCACCAGCTTTAGCTACTTTTA